CTCTTCTATAATTATAAGTTACATTTGTTCCCAAGTAGTCTAATATTTCTTTTGGAGGTTGCAGATTTCCGAAACTATCATAATATTCAATCATATTTTTGTTTTTGTAATATGCCACCCAATGAGTTCCAGCTCCACTATAAACATCTAAATTTATAATTCCACATTCTTTTATATATGGTTTTTTTGGTAATCTATCACGCATAAAAACACCTCTAAAATGAGGTATATATTTTTTTCCAAAGTCATATACATCTATGTCAGTGAGTGGAGCTTTAGGCAGCAGTTTTATTAGTTTTTTGATGAGTGATCCACATATATACCATATCCCTTCTTGTAAGGTTTAAGATAGAGGCCTTTACCCATTGCTATGGCTTCTATGGTTCTATTATGTCTAGTTTGCTCTTCCAGTTGTTGTTTTCCTTTCTTAGCATTCATAACAGCATTTGCAATTGCTGAACTACCTGATGCAAGGGCACCCAAAGCTCCAAGCCCTGTTAGAATTGGTATAAGTGGAAGAAATCCTCCTTTTTTTGGAACCCTTATCACTCTAGGTATAACCACCTTTGATTTATTTCCATGAAATGACTTTTGAATTTCTTTCTTTGCTACTTTTATAGCTGCATTAAGGTCATTGGGTTTTATAGTTTTTAAAGTTGATGTTGCATTTCTAACAGCGTTTTTAAAAATCTGTTGACCTGATAGTTTTTTAGATTTTTTATTATCCAAACCCAGACCAAGCTTTGTTTTTGCCTTCATAGTGCTCGTAACGAGATATGCACTAAGTTTCTCTCCAATACTACTATCTTTTGCTTTTACTCGTTCCCAGGCCCTTTCAGCTAGTTCTCGATCAGCAATATGTCGTTGTTCAAGATTTGTGTTTTGTGAATAAGCAATATCGTGTTTTCTACACGCTGAATCCAATGGATTAATACCTTTATCTCCCCTCTCCAATCGTTTCATAAGCTTCGTTCCGGGTCCACAAAATTGATAACCTGGTAGATGAAGCTCCACTGGTAAATTGTTTATAAATTTATTTACCAACCCTCCTCCTTTAACAGTTTTATCTCTAATAATCCTCATTTTGTTATAAACAATCATTTTATACTTTTTTTTGCTAAACAAATAAAAAGAATATATAGCCATTGTTTATATAATAATTTGTCAGTTTTAAAATGCGATTAGTTGAGCAACAGACTAAAATTTCCGTACAAAATGCGGATTTTACACAAAGGAAGATACCCAGACATAGTACTTTATTACCTAACACTATACGAGCCTTAATTGTTGGACCATCAAATTGTGGGAAGACTAATGTGATGCTTAGCTTGATAGAAAGTCCTAATGGATTAAAGTTTCACAATATTTACATTTATTCAAAATCCCTATATCAACCGAAATATGAATATCTGAAGAAACTTATTTCATTCGTAAATGGTATGGGATTGTATACTTTTAGTAGTAATGATGATGTTATGAAACCTGAAGAGATCAAGCCAAACTCAGTTATGATATTTGATGATGTGGCTTGCGATAAGCAAAATAATATAAAAATCTACTTTAGTATGGGTCGGCATAAACATGTTGACTCCTTTTACCTATGTCAAACATATACACGCATTCCAAAGCATTTGGTGCGGGACAATGCTAATATGATTATTATGTTTAAGCAAGATGATTTGAATTTGAAACATATATACAATGATCATGTTGGAAGTGATATGAATATTGATGACTTCAAAGAAATGTGTCGCGAGTGTTGGAAAGAAAAATATGGATTTCTAACAATAAGCAAAGATGATGAAATTGACTCTGGGAGGTATAGGAAAGGATTTGATATATTTATACAACCATAATGGTAGTTAAAATGTTCCTATTATAAGTAAATCCTGTTAGTATATTTGAAACCATGGAAGAAGAAATGTTGAAACGCCTTGTTCACTCGCGAAATGTATTGAAAAGAAAGTTTCAAAGCATTAAAATGGGTGAGCAGGATAAGGCCGACGAATTGAAGAACACATTTAAACCTATTACAGAACCAATAGAGAAGCTACTAAAATTATCAAATGAAAAGGGATCGACAAACAATACTCATAAAAAAGAATACATGAATCCTTATAAAGATTCTATTATGACTAGTACTCCTAATAAAAAATATAAACCAGATATGCAACTAGAGTCAAATATTTCCAAAGATGTTAAACACGAAAAAGACTTTCAACCAGATTACAGTTATGAGTCAAATGATGACACATTTTTTTCTGAGAATAATGATGAGGATACAATTAACCTTTCTATCTTGAACAATAACAAAAAATTAGATACAATTTATGGGCCACATAAAGCTAATGGAGAATGGAAATTTGGGAATAAATCACTAAAAATTAGCGATCAGAAAATCACTATTGGAAATCAAAGTTGGGCGTTTACACCTGGCCTGTTTGAACTTTTGTTTTATAAAAAACCCTCCAACTACGACTCATCAGAATTAGATATATATAAAAAAATTTTGTTGGACTCCAACGCACATAAGATAAACTACAATGCTGATGAAAGAATTAAATCCAACAAAGGATATAAATACAAACACATTATTAGGAAATTAATGAATGTTACTCACACTGGTAAAGGTCTAATGAGAGTAAATCAAGTTAAATCGAACTATATATACTGGGACGATCCAAATGAATTGATAGAACGATTAAGGCTGTTGATAGCATCGCAACAAGCTGGAAACAATAATCATACGAATGAGATTGTTTCCATTATCGAAGAACTACGTGAGGGAAAAATAATATACTAACTAATTAAACAGCTAATTCATGACAGTTGACAAATTTGGACATCATTATAATCAAAAGTACACCTCGATAGCATTAAGAGGACATGTTTCAAGAATACTTGGAATCAATATTGACAATGATAACAATATTGACATACAAAATAAAAAGATTAAGAACTTGGCTCCCCCATCGGAAGGGACGGATGCAGTCAACCAATCATACGTACATTCACAAAACCAGCACTTACAAGAAATATTAAAAAATGGCATATTTAATGAATGTAGTAATATAAGAGAAGAAATATCACAACTAAAAAAATCCCAAAACGAAATTTTTAAAATCTTATCTCAGCACCCGTTTAATTCACCTGCCCTAATATACCATATAGATTGAAACATGGAAAAAAGAAAAGTAGTAAATGAACTTCACACTCAAGCACGAAAAAATTTTAAAAGACGAAGAGTCATTACGAAAGGCATCGATGATCTATGGCAAGCTGATTTAGTAGAAATGGGTAACTACTCTAAAGCAAACAAGGGATATAGATTTATGCTTACAGTTATCGATACATTTTCCAAATATGCATGGGGTGAAGCACTCAAATCCAAAAATGCCTCGGATGTTTATAGAGCTTTTGAAACAATCTTAAAAGCTGGAAGAATTCCCAAGAATTTACAAACTGATGATGGAAAAGAATTTTTCAACAAGGAATTCTCCAAATTAATGCGAAAATATTCAATTAATCACTACTCCACTTACAGCGTATTGAAAGCTTCAATTGTTGAACGTTTCAACAGAACATTGAAGGGAATGATGTGGAAAGAGTTTAGTTATAATGGCAATTATCAATGGATTAATGTTTATAAAGATTTAATTAAACAATACAATAGAAGACCACATCGAACTATACATATGGCACCTGTCCAAGTTAATTCTACAAATGAGAAAGCTTTGCTTAAATCTGCTTATAATCACATAAAAATTTTTAAGAAACCCAATCTGCGTGTGGGTACTTATGTACGTATCAGCAAATATAAACATCAATTCGAAAAAGGTTATACACCAAACTGGACGACAGAAATTTTTAAAATAAAATCAATACGCATAACAAACCCAACAACATATTTACTAGAAGACTATGAAGGGAATCCAATACAAGGATGTTTCTACAGGGAAGAACTTTTACCTACAAAATATTCAAACATATACTTGATAGAAAGAATTATAAAATCTAAGGGAGATAAAGTTTATGTTAAATGGTTGGGGTTTTCCAACCAACACAATTCATGGATTGATAAAAAGTATATATTATAATATGATAAATAATTTTAAATAAACTATATAAAATATGTATACTCTGTGTTCTTATTTATTCTAAAAGGGGATCTCACAATGTCAAGAACATTTACTTTGACTGGCAATACATCCAATTTACGTTCATATTATTCACCACCAATAGAATTAGGGGATGTTGAATATGAATGTTGTTTAATTGATTTTCAAACGTATAATTCAATACCTAATGTGGATAATGATAATAATTTGTTTCATATTGGTGATAGCGTCATAAAAATACCTGTAGGATCGTATGAGCTGCAAGACATTGCCGACTATTTAGAAGCCGAGTATAAAAGTAGACATACAGGCAAAAGCATTAACATTAAAGCAAACAATAATACATTACAAATAGAAATAGAATCATCTCATGATTCTATATTTTTTAATAAAGATAAGTCTATTTCAAAACTATTTGGTTTCACCGAAAAAATTTTAGAGCCTGGGAAGAAACATATTTCCAACCTCCCAGTAAATATTTTAAAGGTTAATGTCATACAAATACACTGCAATATTGTAGCAGGATCCTTTATGAATAATTCCCCAGCTCACATACTACATGAATTTGCATTGGATGTCCCTCCAGGCTATAAATTAGCCGAGAGACCGTTGAATCTCATTTATTTGCCTGTAAACGTCAAAGAAATAAGTTGTATTGAAGTACAGATATTAGATCAAGAAGGTCGCCTAATAAATTTTCGAGGAGAGGAAATCACACTTCGAATTCATATTAAATCAAGGAAATAATGCTTATTTATAATAAATACAATTATAAACAAATTCCAAAAAACATTTCACAACAGGTTGTTAGACCGACAAGACCTCAACTAACTAAAAAAAGTAGAGAATTTTTAAAACTACTCAAATTAAAAGTAAAGCCAAATGTCGGAAATTCTAAATATTAATGAACGTCCATTCTCAGATGAGAATATTATAAAGAGAGACTATCATAGCTATGTTCCCTATATTCAATCATTTAAAAATAATGATGAGATTCGCATAAGTATACAAAACCAAGACCTTTACATTCTACCATCGGAAAGCTATCTTTATATTGAAGGTTATTTAAGAAAAGCAAATGGCGAAGTTTCTTCAAATGCTAGACTAAGAAATAACTGCGTGGGTTACATGTTTGATGAAATTCGATATGAACTTAATGGAATTGAAATTGATCGCACACGTTATCTGGGTCTGACTACTAAGGTTAAAAATTGGATTTCTCTAAGTGAACCTGAAAGCAAATTTATGAGTAATGCTGGATGGAATGTAGATGATGTGTCAACCAATACCTTCAATTTCTGTTTACCACTGAATCGTTTGCTTGGATTTGCAGAAGACTTTAAAAAAGTAATTTGCAATAGCAAACATGATTTGATTCTATTGCGAAGTTCCAATGATGCAAGTGTCTGTTATTCTACAGACTCAAAAGAAGATATCCGTCTTACCATTACAAACATCGTGTGGAGAGTACAACATATTAATTTGTCTGACTATAGAAAAATTAGTTTCCTTAAAACAATAAAGGATGGAAGGTCATTGCCAATAGCATTTCGTAGTTGGGATTGCTATTTTAACCCCACATTTGTTGGCGGAAGACAACATAGCTGGAATGTCAAATTGTCTGCAAATCATGAAAGGCCACGATATGTAGCTTTTGTATTTGAAAAAGATAACAAATTGTTGCATTGTGATCTTCAAAACATTAAAGTACATTTGAATTCTGAAACGTATCCCTACGATGATCTAAACCTTAAGTTTGGAGAAAATCGTTATGCGGTACTCTACGATATGTATGCCAAGTTTCAAGAAACATATTATATGCGAGAACCACAACCACTTCTTTCCTACATAAGTTTTAAGGGTAATCCAATCGCTGTCATTGATATAAGCAATCAAAATGAAGCCGTGAAGAATGGACCGATTGATTTGAAAATACAATTTGAAACCAACACACCAATACCTCAAAACACCTCAGCATATTGTCTAATAATCCATGATCGTCTGGTGGAATACATACCTTTGACTGGAATTGTTCGAAAAGTAGTATAAGATATTTATACTTACATATTATATTAAACATTGAATTTATTTAAATGAAATAAAACACATTTTTACAATGAAATAATTTACATTGGTTTATTTTTTATTTACATTATATATATTGTTTATTTACAATGGAAACTTAATTCAAATAAACATTCAATTCATCGTTGTCTATAGATGGAAAATCTAAATCCATTGGAATGGAAAAGTTAAAGTTTATATTATTCAAATAGTCTTCATCAATATTTAAGTACCTATCTAGCTCATCATCATTAATACTACTACTAGATAAATCTAATTCCATATCCAATGGTATAGAAAAATCAAAGTTTATACTATTCAAATATTCATTTTCAATATTCTTATGCCCCCACGCATAAGTATGTATTTTATCAGCTTTGATTTTTCTTTTAGTGTCTTTACAACTTAAAACTATCTTAGACATTTTATTTGTATATACTTGATGCATCTTAGATCTAAAATTAATCATAACATCCCTACTTATTTTTTCATTTAGTAAACATTCTTTATAGTCATTTATAGAGTATTTTGAAATAACACACTTTTTAACGCCCTTTGCTTTCTTAATTTCTTCGCCATCTTCTACCTGGAAGGAATACATTTTGGGTCCTAATCCAATAAACATAGTCATAATTTTCCCACAGTTCTCATCCTTCATCATTCCAATTATTTTCTTATTTTTTCTCGGAATTTTATATATGTTATCTTCTGGATAATCGGACGTATCAAATTGTAAATCAATATCAGATTTTATATCTTCGTACACATCGTCCGTTTCTATATCTAAAATAAATGAATCTGTATCTGTATAGCAAAGAGTAGCACGATTGCCATATTTTTTTTTAATGTATCCGTAAAAGAAATCATACATTCTATATTTTGAAAGTTCTAAAATACAAAAACCTAAATAAATAGGTTTATTATATGTGACGTTTGTTTTATTCATTTGAATTGCCCATAATTCATCATCAAATTGAGTTGCACTATGAAAATTTGGTTTTGATATCAGTTTTTGAGCACCTATTCTACGTCTATCTCTATAATCCCAATGATTAATTTAATGTTCTTCCGTTTATCGACATTTTCCATGGTTTTCCCAAAAACAGAATTATTATACAGTTTATATAAATCTTTAAGAAATGAATTAGATGCCTTTTGTCGTTCAGATGTATTTTTATCTATATATGGTGCTAACCATGGCGATTGTCGAAATGAAATTACAAAATGAACTTTTGCCAATTTTAGCCCATTTTCCAAACACTGTTTTAAAACCATGTAATGTATTGCATAGTTTTTCTTTGGGCTAAAATCAGCAATAAGCTTCTCATATTTTGAATCCCCAACCTTTTTATTTTCTGCACAAAAGGGTAAATCATTGTGTAGATCATGCAATTCTTCCGGATACTCAAGGTCTACTACGTATATGTATCCAATGGTAGAATTATGCATGAATTTAAGAATTTCTTCAACATCTGTTATTGCCTCTTCAGGTTGCAACCATTTAAAATCTCCTTCTGGAAGATACTGTTTCATTGCCCAACCATACAAATTATTGGCATCTAAATATAATAAATAGTGTGATGGTGAATTTTTATCATAGTCCTTCATATACTTGTTATTTGCTTTAGCTAATCTTTTGGTACATTGAACTAATCCTCCCCTGATACCTTTTTTAATAACATTGAACATGTTCAAATCTCTTAGAAGATCAAGTGTTATTTTTGTAAAACGCAGCATCGCATCAAAAGACAATCCTGGTGCAGTATAGTACTGACATGGATCAAGTTTATGAACCCTTTTACAAGATTTTCTAAAATTTTCAAATACATCTGTTAATAGGAGCACATCTGTCTTCAAATATAGCTCCATATAGTCTTTTAATGACTGACAATTAAATGTCTCCCACACACGTTTTGCATGCTCATAATCATCTATACTACAACTGGTATTATATAAATTACTATAAAATTTTTCAATGGGTGGAAGAATTGTATCATTTAGTTTATCAAAACTGTCTAAATATTCATAGCAAAATATTCCTTTCCGCCTCATTAAATTGAATTGATTATCAATGGGGAAATGTGCTCTAACTGATTTCAAATCCGCATCTTCCAAATTGTTGGCTAAGGTTTCTAAACTTGCCGCCATGAATCTGAAAGAATCTAAAAACCTGTATTCAAGTTCCCTACCATTACCCATATCAACAACATGTGATACTGAAATATATAATTCTTTATTTTGTGGAATTATATTAGTTTTCTTACTAGGGATGTATTTAATTAGTTCTTTTATAAAAAGATGGCAATCGTATCCAGAAAAATTGTGGAATAAAATTGGAATGAATGTTGGAACTGTATAATTTATATTGCACTCTTTGTGTGCAGCTCCCCTATACCGACCCGTTATATGACAATGATCATGAACCTTATCACTACCCAATTCTTTGTCGCAAATATGACAAATTTTTGCATTTTCAAATTCTAAAATTTGAGATGGCGTTAATGGCGTCATTGGTTTTTTAACACTCAAATACGTATTAAAAATTTCCCTACACTTAGAATTTAACATTTCAACAAATTTTTCTGCTGCATCCCTACCTGTATATATAAATAATTCATCTAAGTTACTATCAAAATTACATTTTACATTAAAACTAAAGGCACAAGGTAAATGCTTATTAATAACCATATCTAAATTGTCTACCTTTTTTAAAACACACTCAAAATCAGCATATATAACAAATGGAACATTCATTTGTTTATGAAAGTTCTTAAATGACAACGTTGATTTACCTTCTTCGGGCATTTTTGCAATAACTTTACTACACAAATCCCGATGACGCTCCATAAAATCATATTTGCTGGTGTAATATAAACACTGATTGCAAATGTGTAAACGCCTTCTGCAATTCGTTAACTGATTATTTACCAACCTAAAATAAAAAAATAATTAGTATAATATTTAAAAATTGTTTATTTAAATGTAAAACTCACCTAGATAAAGATTTGATTAGAATGTAGTGAGATTTTCCATCGTTTTCTAATAGCAGCAAGTTAACATGTTTGTCCTTTTCTTGTTTCGTAATATAATAAGGTCCAACGACTGATTTTGAAGAATACTCATAACCAAAAACGTTTACACTAATGTTGGGATTTTTTTCTTCAAACAATTTTATATACTTTAGTTCCATCGGAAATTCTATTCCTTCAAAGTTTAGTGTTAAACCATTTTGCAACGTAATAATAGATGAATTAATATTATCTATGGCGTATGAAGAACATTTTGATGGATTTAATGGTTGTGAAGTTTCCAATGCCGCTATCAAACACCATTTGAAACAGTAAATGTCTCCATTATAAATATTGATACAGGCTCTTTTATTTTTTAGTTCTTTAGGTGTGGGTATATATTGGGAACCTCTTATGGGTGAATGCTTGTTAATGTTGATTTTCAAACTGAAAACCTTTAACAGGGCCCAACCGGAATCCCGTTCTTGGAACTCGGACATCTTCGTTTTTATGTAATCAAAATGATCATTTAATATATTGTCAATGTTATCAGCTCTTTCAAGTTCCATCATTTTTGAGTTGTGGTATATTTTTTTAATTATTATGTTCTCGTTACAAGGTTTAACATATTCTCCACCCAACTCTAAATTAAATTTGATTCTGTAATGACGATTTAGTGCTTCTTGAAGTTGATTAATAAGGGATGCTTTTGCCCCCTGAAATATTAAATCAACTTCTATTGTATCTTCTGTTATTTTATATTGAAAGGTTTGGATTCTATTATTGAATCCACTCCTTACTAGCATCATATCGCTATTTACACCAGAAGTCGTTCCTTGTTTCATGCCTTCAATTTTATTTTGTTGTTGGTTTGATTGTTGTATCTGTTGGTGTCTCTGCCATGTTCCTGAAGGTAGTTGATTCACAGCTTCATTTTGCAGTTGATAAAAATTTGGGTGATACACTTCATAATGTAATTTTAAAGCCCACTTGTTTGCCAACATTTTCTTACATATTTCACAAACTTTATGTAACATCAAATGCTTTTTAAGTGCAGCTTTAGAACTCAACGCTTTTGAGCAGAAATTGCATTGGAAGCTTTCCATTGTAAATACGTTTCAATGTTTTTCTCACTTTTAGTCTATTTTTATAACTTTATAACTTTCGTTCACTTTTCACTCTGAGTCTCTTTTTGGTTTTGCAGAAAGTATTGAAAATCACTTATACACTGTAAAAAATCACTTTTACTCAACTGGTTGTGATATGAATAGTTTACGATATGAACTCTCAACTGAAAGTGGAATATAGATTCCTTTTATATTATAATTATACCTCGTATTGACAATATCATGTATTATTACGTTCGTTTATTAAAAGTATCCCAGAATGCAAAAAAAAAATGCCCCCCTCCGCCTTTTCCTCTTGTATCCAAACATTTCGTAAACACATATTTGTTCCTGTCTTTCCCCTTTATACTCCTAATCATAGTTGCATAAGATTGCGAAATTCATTATGCTGTTTATCATATTTCTGTCCAATGGTTCTTATCAACAAGTGTTCGCCTCTTTATTTTTGGCGCCCATCAGTCTTTAAAATCATACAAATCCATGCGCCTGTCTCCTAATACCGCTGACCATTTTTACCGATACAATTGATGCATGTATGTTGTTGTTTGTTGATATTCTCAATAGTCCCTATAGTTTGTTTCCCATATTTGTCCCCCTTCCCTTGTAAACATTTCGGTAAGCTCCGCGCATTCCAACACTCAACAATGCTCGATTTAACATAAACACATTGGTATTGATATGATCAGAAATAAACATAACTGCGTCTGTCTCTTCATGCCGCTGACCATTTATATCGCTAACCATGCTGTTGTTGTTTTTATTCCCTATATTTTGTTCCACATATCTGTTCCCCCTTTCCCCTTGCCACATATTTGCCTCCCTTTCCACGCATGCCCAACACTCAACGATGCTCGATTTAACATAAACACATTGGTATTAATATAATCAGAAATAAACATCAAACTCAAAGCCGTACATATTCCTCTCCCCCCGTTTCCTCTTGGATCCAAACATTTCGTAAACACATATTTGTTCCTGCCTCTTCCCTTTTCACTCCTAATCATAGTTGCATAAGATTGCGAAATTCATTATGCTGTTTATAGTTTGGTTCCCATATTTGTCCCCCCTTTCCCCTTGCCACATATTTGCCACCCTTTCCACGCATGCCCAACACTCAACAAATAAACATAACTGCGTCTGTCTCTTCATGCCCCTGACCATTTCTATCGCTAACCATGCTGTTGTTATTCCCTATATTTTGTTCCACATATCTGTTCCCCCTTCCCCTTGTAAACATTTCGGTAAGCTCCGCGCATGCCCACATAGTTTGCCATCCCTAATATTCTTAAACCGAACGGACACACACACACGCACACACATTGCCATACTCAAGGTCAAGAGCGCGCCCACACACGTCGATCAACACAGTTTGCGAACGGAGACACACACACACAAACACATACTTTGCCATACTCAGAACGGAGGATCACACACACAAACGCACATACATAAATTGCCATACTCAGAACGGAGGATCACACACACACACACACACACTATTTGTAAACAAAAGCGCACGTGTTCACACATACACGGACGGACAGACGATTTGTTTACTGTAATTTGATACTTTAATGAGTTTTTGACCATTTTAATAACTTTTGGCTAATCCTTTGTATTTTAAACCATACATAGTTATACGGAAGGATATTTGTTAATCGACTCTAAATTTTCTAAATCAGATTTAGTTCAAAGAAACATGGTCTAAAACCAGTATTTCGATGAGGCATATTTTCACGCTATAAAAGTGTATATATTATCCATAAGGCTGAGGGTATAAAAAGTAGAAGAACGCAAAATTAAAACCAATGAGCGGAACATCATTATTTTACACACAAAGTTTTGGTTAATTTGAACCGCTAAATACTAAATAAATAGCATTCTCCATTTCATCCCCAATATATCATCAGATTACTACCGAAAACTACGATTTCATAGCAACCGGCGAAAAATGTATCGGAATAGGTAGATCACTATAAATAATTCCGAATGACTTCTACATCCGAGCACATGCAACAATAAATATTAATTCTTGGTTAGATCCCTTTTTCGTGTAAAACTATGTGATGATAACGTTTTTTGTGGCCCTAGTGTGACCAGAAAAACATACAAAAATTAAATTTTTGATCCATTTTACACCCTAAATATTAACCGATCGTTACTAAAAAGGGATCTTCGTTAGCCCCAACCGAACGTACTCGGTCCATAACTGTGTTCTGTGTTTACAAATTATAATGGACGGACACGCATGTCTACACCAACTCAGGTAGTCAAGATATGGTGACGCGTATACTGAAAGTTGGGTCTAGGACAAATATTTCGCGGCGTTAAAAACTTCTGGGGCCACAAAAATCAATAATATCCTTACAAAATAGTTATGTATGGTTTAAAAAATAATTCTTTCAAATTATTAAATATCAAACCTTTATCAATATAAATAATAAGTACATTCAAAGGCAAGCTAACATGTTCGTATTATCCAAATATTGAATACAAGAAATCCCACAATGTATCAGTACGATAGGCTATCACTTCTTAACACCGGAAGTCTGATTATAATTGAAAAGTTATAGAAATTGACTTCACACAAAAACCATCAAGAGCTACTGCATTTTAACTGCAACATGGACGAAGACCAAGTGAATAGTTTCACATTACAAAAGACACATTCACGTCCACAAAACACCAACAACGACAAGTGAGAATCATAAATTAATGTGTGATTGATTGACGAAGTGTCACTTTTACACAAAAGGCATCAAATCTGTGAAAATCCCTAAAAGAAATAAAGAAGCTATAACTTAACAAAATTCAATAGACGAATTAGTGGCGATTTCATTTCATAGCTTATTATTTTTGACGAAGATGGATTTGTATTTTCAATTCATTGAAATGATGCACGGTGTGTTCGTGTGACCATTCCACACTGAACACCAGTCTACTTCAGGTTCAAAACATAAACACATTGTGTACATCTATGAATTGTTATTAAATCCTAAGAAACACACATACACTCACAATTGATTTGGTGTGGTCACCCCAAAAAATATATAATTCAATTATATCGCCTAATGATATTACTTTGGAAAAGGTGTAAATTTATAACTTGCTGACCATTGTTAGCAGCATCGAATGACGTGTAGAGGTAGGTACATTAATCATTCTTTAAATTTAGGAAAGACCTGTAAGCTTAACAATGAACCATCAACCCGCCTTTGGTTATGGTGTAGGTATCAACGGAAAGAGTAATTACCATCAATGAGGTTCAAACACCCAGAAGTATATAGGAATAAAGTTAGCTGGACATCAAGAGATGTATCATCATATTCTGCCTGATAGTTGAATGTAAGAAAATAATTTTTTGTGTTATTGGTAGCTTTTGTAAACTTTTATTGGTTTGTGATTTATTTGATGAGCTTGTTTGCTTTACTTCCAAATGTACTAATGTGCTACTGTACATTGTATGATACATACATACAATTTTTATGAAGGAAATAAAGTTATGCATCCCATTGCATCCGTTTAAAATTTTATTTGATATATATAACATACAATTAAAATATTCCCTGCAAACTTTGCTCAAATTAACTTTTTTACACACGAGCTGTTTATTTTTTTATTAGACGTCTTTAAAAAAAAAAAACGCCAAAAAGCGAACATAAATGTAAATAAATTCAGAGATCTGGATTCAAAATTATATTCAATATATGATTCAATTTTATATTATTACAATATAGCGCTTACAATTGTTTGTACTGTTGTCACGAAATCATACACAGAATAAAAATATTCGTATATTATATGAATAGTGCTCAGAAAGTGTTGCCAATGTCCTGATTTCTGCATTTTAGGACTGCCTTATTGCTCAAATCAACACTTGTTTGATATATTGTATTTGACATTTATATCGAAATAATTTGGAAACCAGTGAGCAGAGCAGTATAGTCGGACGGGGCCGACCATATAATACCCTACACAACTTCTACGAAAATCTAACTTTGCACTATTTGCACCCTCTTGAAACCCGACTAAAGGTCAAAAAATATTACTAATATTCAGTAGACGAGGGCTGTGTCCATATTCTCTTTACCGTGGGTTATGTTGTGATGTTGACCTTCAATTGTGGCCTATAGATCGACTCAAAAAAAAAAGGACAAAAAATTAAGTTTTTGGTCTACTTCATCCCAAAATTTTTATCTGATCGTCACCGAAAATTATAGGCGTTGTCCTTGACCATAACTGAAATCTCATGGAAATTTTCAAAGCGATCAGCGCTATATTTCGGCCCTCTATTGGGGTTTTGGATTATTAAATAATGTCTGAATACGTAAGCACCTGTAAATATTTAAGTGTAACTTTTACACCTGAGTACATACAACCATATAATTGGTATCAATTTAAAGGTCAACCACTCCTCTTGAATATACTATCAACTTTTTGGGTCT